AGTCCGGGAACTTTCCGGACAAACTGTGTATACTATAGATGTTTATGGTATGATGGCCTATAGAAAGTGCAAATGCATAGCATAAAACTATTTGAACCAGTGAGCATTTAGCACAGTTTTAAGTTTGTAAATCATTATGGTGACTTTATGGTAATACTTATTGGTTTATATAATCTGCTATGTTTATGTAGCTATGGCATTTTGTGTGCAATAGCCAGAATAGCCCTTAAACTTTCAACACTGATTTAGTTTCCACCGAAGCATTACTTTACACCTAATGCGGCGTAGAATCAAATTTAAGTCGATGGAAACGCATCAAATTGCGCTCATTTCTCTTCTGCTTTGATCTATAAGTACTCTAATTCCAGTGGAAACGGAACACTAAATTTGATCTGTACTGGGCATCGATTCTGTATTCATGCAATGTAGTGAAAATTACAAAAGTGAGCGAATTTACTAATGATTGACCAATAAAATCATAGATATTTTAGTGAATGCGCTCACTTTTGTAATTTTTACTACACTATACAGAATCAAACTGATACCAGAAGCTTGAGAATGACCATGAATGCATTTTAATGTTACCATCATTTGTGATTAACTTAATCGATCGATATTTTGTGCAAGCCGATTAATCATATTGATTGAGTGATTGAGTGCCCGTTTTCCGCAACTTTTCAAGAAGTTCATCCACCACTAGGCACCACAGTAAGGGAGATAATACTCCTCCCTGCGGACAACCTTTGGCGGGGAAGCCATGTACTCCGTTACTAGCAGTCAGGGTTCTTCCTGTAAGCTTTGTGTCTAGTCTGCTATCGCAGCTGGAATGCCATGGCTGATCATCGCTTTCCCGATCACATCATACAAGATGCTATCAAAGCTCCCCCGATATCCAGGAATACGCCTAAAACATAACCCTTTGCCTCCAACTATGCCTAAACTCTGCCCACGAAATGCAGGGTAGTATCAGTTGATCTGCCCTCTCTGTAGGCATATTGAAAGGAGGTCAGTGAATATGTAAGCAAAGAGCCGTTTTTCAAGAACCTATCAATCAACTTCTCCAACGTTTTAAGAACAAAGGAGGTGAGACTAATTAGGCCTAAAGTCTTTGGCTAACATGTAATTATTTCTGCTAGGCTTGGGTATGAAAACGACTTTTGTTCCACTCCAAACCTGGGGGACATGTCNTAGGGCAATACTTGCCCTAAAGATTTTTGTGAGTGGACCAAGTAAAACCTTCAGACTCTTCTGAAGGAGAATCGGGTAGATTCCATTCAATCTCGGTTTATAGGAGTTGAAGGTCCTAACAGCCCATTTATCTCCCCTCGGATCGACAACCTTTGCCGCTAAATGCCACTCTCTGAGCTTATATTCCCTGGGCTTCGGCCGACTACATTGTTTCTTATTGTCAAATCCTGGGAAGTAAACATCCATCAGATGTTTTAGAGATGCTTCTTCAGTAATGTTTCTTGTTGAAAGCTTAAGACAGCCCAGATGAGAACATTGATCTAAGTTGAGGATTTTGCAAAGTCTGGATGCCTCCGCTGCACTTTCAGTACCTTTGCAAAAATGTCTCCAGCTTTTGCGTTTTGCTTTTGTGATTGTCTTGCTATATTCTTGTTGGGAGCTTCTAAAAGCTTCCCAGTGTGCTGCAAGACCAGTTCTTTTTGCTTTGTTAAATTCCTTTCTTGTTTCTGACCTCAGCTTCTCAAGCTCATTATTCCACCAGTGGATCTTGGTCACCGGCTTTCTTGGTCTCGACAAATAGTTTGATTCATAGGCATTTACAATAGCGTTCTTTAAGTAATCCGCCGCATTTTTTAAGTTATTCTTAGAAATATATAATGTATATAACTAGTTAGGGCTCCAGCAAGCCGGGCCTTGAAATAAGCCCTGAAGCCGTCCCAATTAGTCTTTCTGGAATTACGAGCCCAGTTTATCGGCGACGAGTGTTGAAGAGGTAGGCGTATTTGTCTGTGGTGGGATCCCGAAGGTTCATTAGAGACCCTCCAGTTTCTCACCAGACTCGCCACCTTCTCCATACTCACCGTACTGTCAATAACCTCCCGTTTTCTTGAGTCCTGGAAGGTCGACTCAGTTCTTCTATTTAGGATAGTGAGTCATGTGCCCATTTGGAAACCATGGAGACTTTCCCCTCGCAAATTAATATCGATGCTCCCCTATCCGACATAGTGAGAGTTTGCATTGCAACCCAGCAGGAGTTCAAGTCCCTTGTCTTCCGCATAGGCCACCAGGGTTTTTACCTCTTCTTGCGGTGGTGGATCCTTGGAGTCAAAGGGCATGTAAGCTGTCTCTATCAGTACCTTCATGTTCTTCTCGGCCAGTTGTACTTTCACCCTGATGACTGTGAGGTCCTCACTGCTGAGCTGCGGCAAAAAGATGGCATTTAGTCCTTTAATAAAAATGCAAGATCTTACTCTTTTTTCCGAGTGTGCTTTGTATAAATTATCGCATCCACTGAGTCCTTTATTGCACCGTTTACAAACCAAGGCTCTTGAATTAGTGCAATACTTGTTTGCATCATAGCCATGCTTCTAGCTAAAATTGCCGAGGCGCTCTTGCTATGCCGCAAGATAATTTGTGTTATTTGGATGCCGAGAAAAGCCATTTTAAGCAGTCTTGACACCCTCCGACACCTCTATTTGCTCGGTGGCCTCTCCGCATTCCCGGCTCGCCACCACCTTAACAGTGGCGCGACCGGTTCCGCAGAAAACGCGGAAACGCTTCCAGCGAAGAGTCGCCAATCAAGCAGGCAAAGTCGGCGCCCGTGGCGTCCCTACTTTGACTCCCCTTGATGACGACCCACTCATTGGTTGCCAGTCCCGCATTTTGTTGGTTGAGGAGCTTCAAGGCTTCTTCAACCTCTACATCTGGCTCTTTCACGTGTATCACCACCCGACGTCTCGGTAGCTTACCGGCCGCCAACACAAGCAAAAGAGTTCCCCTAATCTTCCAATCAGAGAAATGATTTCTAAGCCACTCCTCCGACTCTTTACTGGCGCACACTATCACCAGTGGCCCATTTATGTCGCAGGTGCCAAAAAAGGTGGGGGCTTTGGCATCTCCGGACATGCCGAGGATGCGACTTGATCAATTTCTTGATCTCCAACCCCTCATCAGCTCCTAATTTCTTTTCGGGGTAGCCCTCCAATACTAGGGCCACCTTGACAGTTTCTGTTGTCACCTGGACATAAGACCTTTCATTTCTGGGTCTCTTGTCCTGGCGATTGGTAAAGGGACTAGGAGTGCTCCGGCCTGGCGCGCTTCACCGCGCTACCCGAAGCCCGTCCCCCAATTCCTGTTTTTAAAGCAACAGCAGTATGGGTGTGAGGGGCCTTAGCAGCCACACTCTCCCTTGCCTGCCTCTTGTTTCCTGACCCCGCTAAGTCTCTTGCGAGATGGGGCCACAGATCCTGCTCTCGTATTGTTTGGACTTCCTGGGTGTTTGCTTCTTGAGGAAGTTTCGCCCCTGGAAGCTTTGGAAGGAATGCTTTCTTCTGAAATGTTATCCATTTGAGTCCCACGAGTGTCGCGGTCGCGCGGTCTCACCCGGCCAGAGTCGCGTATGGCCGGGGCTTGGCTTCGTACTCCTGGATTTCACCCGGTATCCAGGAGGATCCAGAAGTACGGACCGTTCAAGACGCAACACCCTTTGCGCCATGCAGCTCTCGGCACGGCTGCTCACACCTTAGCTTAGTGGGTTCCTCTTAGGTGGCCGCGGGTGAGCCCACCCCTGAGCGGGTGTCCACCGCCCGCAACCTTAAGCCCCACTACCCGTTCCGGCGCGAGAGCCCCGAGCTCCCGAGGACACAAGATGCTCACCTTCTGTGGTCAATACTTGTTCCGTCAGTTTACACATTTGTTGTGGCAACACGACCGGGCAAATCTGCCAGCGTCCACTCGAAGGCTGACGATCAATGCCCGGCCGCGCCGCAACACACGTTGGGAACAAAATAAACGTTCCGTGTAGTTACTGCGAGGCGGCCAGACCATATGCACACCGAGTCCTCCGCGGACCCGGAGCTCCCGCCTCGGAGCTACTACAAGATGGGAACCTATTCGGGAGGGGGGNGAGTACAAATTAATTCAATCCGTTTGTTTTGTGTTTGAAACTGCATTTATTTCAAAACAAAATAAATGAATAGATTAATTAAAGTATTGTTCATCGCTGGCTACTACTTTTTCCCATCTCTCACGCAATTTTTAAATTCCATCTCGAAAAAATGACTCGTCTTTGGAGGCAATTTAAGTTTGGAGCCAATTTTCGATTTCTGCGAAAGAATTAAACCGGTGACATGCTACATCGTGCTGCATCCTTTGGAACAACCAATAATTAGAAAGAGCAATGTCCGGAGAATACGGGTGCGGTAAAACATCCCATGAGCGTTTCGAAAAATGTTTTTACGATTTTTGCGACATGAGGCTGAGCGTTGTCATGAAGAAGAATATCTTTATCATGTCTTTGCTCGTATTCCGGGAATTTTTCTCGCAATACGCGGCTCGAACAAATCAATTGTAGCCAATACAGATTGCTTGTAATGGAATTGCCAGGTTTNAGCAGCTCATGGTAAACAACATCCTTTTGGTCCTACCAGCTACACAGCATGATCTTTGAACCATGAATTTTCAAATGCTTTGGTGTTGATGTTGAAGTTGATGGCAACGATTGATCGGGCTTAGCGTAGTATTTTTTCTTCTTGAGGTTGTCGTAAAATATCTACTTCTCATCTCCAGTCACAATACAATGCAAAAAACTTTTTCTTTGTTGCTTTAGAATCAGCAATTCGCAAGTAAAAAATCGTCTTTCAACGTCACTCGGTTTTAGTTCATGAGGCACCCAATTTTCTTGTTTTTGAATCATTCCCATAGCTCTCAATCGTACAGAAAGAGCTTGTTGAGTTACTCCCAATGATTCTGCAATCTCCTCTTGCGTTTGACTCTGATCTTCTTCAAGTAATGCCTCCAAGTCTTTGTCTTCGAAGTTTTTTAGCTGTCCAGAGCAAGGCTTGTCTTCAACGCTGAAATCTCCATTCTTGAAACGTCGAAACCATTCCTTACATGATTTATCAGTTTGAGCAGTGTTAACACAAACTTCGACAAGCATTTGATGGGCTTCAGCTGCACTTTTCTTTTAGTTAAAACAGAAAATTTAAATCTCTTGCAAATGTTGCTTGGTTAACACAAAATTCGACATATCAGACACAGTAAAAATCAAGGTTTTTGTATGAAACTCAAAGCAATATAAACTAAATATTATTAGCAAATGTTTAACTTCTCTGAAACCGCCAAAATCAGTTGTCACTATGAACCATTTACAACAGCCGGAGCCATCTTTTGGAAACGGACCAAACTAATTTGTACTCCTAATAAAACTATTCTATGATCCCAACCAGCTGACGTTATAATGACGTTAATATAAAGTCAGTTTTTGACCAGTTCGACGTTAGTTTATAACGTGATATTAACGTAATGACGACGTGAGTTTGTCTCGTCAAAAATGACGTCATGTTAATGACGTTTACTTACGTCATTAATCTGACATAACGTGATTAACGTGAAAAAAACTAATGGTACATTGTAAGAGGGGAATTAATACGAGATTT